CGACGCCCACCAGGGGGCGTCCATTGGCCGGATGGAAAAGGAGGTGGCTGCCCATGCGCACGTAATGCGCATCATGGCGGCAAACATTCGGGCCCTCAATGCGGACAACGAAGCTTACAAGGAGCGCATCCGAAAGCTTGAGAGGATTGCGGAGGAAGGCGCCCACGAGCGGCACACACTGGCAGAGAGGCTGGAGGAGCACCACCGACACATCTTCCTCACCACGGGCACCATCAGGGAGATCAACCGCCTGGTGATTGTCCTTGACAGGATGATGTGGGGCATGAAGAGAGGGCAGGGGGCGACGGCCGGGAGCGCGGAAGGAGGCGACCACCAGGACATGATGTCTCCGGAGGCGTGGGATGACGTGCAACAGTTCTCGGTGTTGAGCGGAGCAGCCTCGATGAGCGGGTCCCTCGACAGGACGGAGTGGGACTCCATGTACGGCTCCGAGTCTGATTACTCGCAGATTTCGGAGGGGGAGACCGAGGGTGGTTCGGACAGAGATTCCCTGGATGGCGTGGTCGGGAGCTCTCTGAAGGGCGAGTGCGGGGACTCTCCGAGGCACACAGATTGGGAGGCAGTCGAGGAAGTTCATTGGGACTGCCCCGAGCACAGCAAAGGAGAGAATCAACAGCAGTGCGGCACTGATGACTCTTGGGAGAGTGCCACATCGGTGGTGCCCATGGCGGGGGCACTGGGCCTCAGTGCTGGGCTTAAGGCTGAGGTTAGTGACCACCAACTTCTCAGGTTCGGGTATCCCGGACCTGAGTAGAGCATGAAGTCCAAATGAGGGGGCCAGGGGTTGGGGGAGGGGGTTGGGGGAGAGGGCGACGGCGGGTGCCATCCGCCGGGTGGGATGGTGGCGGCAGTGAGTGTTGGTGGGGCCTGGTGGCGAGTGGGAGTGGGGGGAAAGTTAAATGTCACACAAGTTGTGGCGACGGCGACGAAGGTTGAATAAATGGATGAATAATGTGGCGGTGGTGATTTTAGGGTTACCGCATGAAGGCGCCAGGAGGCGGGGGTGGGAGGTGGGAATGAATATGAGTAAGTGGCGGGCGGTGGTGGGCGGAGGTAGAGGGAATGTGGAAGTCGCACAAACATTGGTGACTCCGTCCGGGACAGCAGAATTGGATAAATTGGTGATGGTAATGGTTGTGGAGGAAGAACGGAACTGCACAGCAAGGTGGGGCTTGCTGGTGGTGGATGTGGCGGTGGGCATCGTTGAGTGGGTGGTAGTTGTAGGTGGAGTTGGAGGAAAGGGAGATGCCTCACAAGCAGGTGCCATCTCCGCCAGGTTGGGCGAGGTGGACAAAAGCAGTCGTGGAAATTGTTACGTAGAAAGCTCATGAAGCCGTAGTGAGGCGGTGGCGAGTGATGGGCAGTGGGGGAAAGGAAGTAAAATACTTTGAGAAGATTTCGCACAGGCAATGGCGATCTACGCCGGTGGACAAGTTGGAACACGCTGGCCAAAAGTACGCGGGTATAAACTGAGTATTGGTGGCAAAATTGGAAAAAGTTAGGAGAGCGAAAATTTTCAAGATTGCTGCCATCGATGCCAAATTGGTGGCTATTCCATTGGAAGGAAAACTGAGAGACCGGAGATAATTATAAGGTTTGTGGCACACAGTGACCCATGCACACCGAATTCGTATTTATGCATGTCTACTGGTATACTATTCACATGTGCAGTGAAGTTCCCATGAAATTCCCGTGCTCATGTCTTTATTTTTTTGCTGTAAAGAAATGCCGTTGCTGTGCAAGAACAAAGAACAAATTTCCAAAACACTCCAAAGAGCATATGGGATATAGGAGTGCCGAGGGGGCGCCCATGCAGAGAAGGGATCCACAGTGGTGCACTGTCTGCTGGCGACATGTAAATGATGGATCACAGCACATGCATCTTTCAATTGCAATTACGACAACAACACACTGTAGAAATATGGGAGAGTAAGATACAAAATAAAAGTAGAACCGAAAATGGTGGAATCGGCATTTCCGTATTCTGACCCAGATGCAAGGTTCTGATGTTGGTCAAATTCCTGGAGCCATTCAACCTGTATCTCAAGTCTCTTGCCGGTGTGAGGCTCCCCTTGCTCAATGTATATCGACTCTGCTGCATCCTTCCTTGTTTTGCAGTCTTCCGTGAACCAATTCCGCCGGGAATAGTAGTGATTTCGCACAGGCCGTCCCCATAGAGCGAATCAGGGAAAGGCGATAGGGAAAACAAGCAGGCGACGCCTTGGAGGAAATGTCGGTAACCCTCCATGATGTTGTCCAAATCGCGGCCGTTGCAACAAGTGAGATGTGGCGGCCAGGTGTGGAGACAGAAGGGAATCCTCCAGGTGCGTGCATTGATCTGAGGCATGTGAAATGGAGACAATTACGGCAAAACAGCACTGCATCGAAATTCTGTGTCCACAAAATTGTGGGGCACCACAGAGGCAGATGATCCTTCGTCCGTCATTCTTGCTGGTAGAAAATTGCCCACTCTGCGATTTTCCAACCGCGTACTTACGATGCACTGGTGTTTTGGGAAATTGAAGTTTAGAACGCATTAAAATGGGAGCAAAACGTATGTCCTGAATCGCCTATTTTTTGGTATCATTTTCCAGCACTGCCCACCAAATAGACCCGCATATCTTCCGACAGTTATCTAACCGCATCGTTCAGCGAATCGTGGTCTCGCAGACCCACACCGTATCCTCAACTGTGGATACTTGCATGTTGCTTTGGTGTATAGGGACTACACTGGAAACAAAGAACATTCAGGGAAGAGCTTGAACGCGAATGGGCCCAGCTAAATGTCAGGTCGCCAAGGGCTCCCCTTGGCCGCCTTGATCATTTTAACACCACATTTACATGAGCAACCACAAGTGCATTGCTTCCCTAGGCGTCGCTACAGATATGTATGATTCAATTGCCAATTGGTGACCCCTGCTTGATGGTTGCTATTGTGATCACTGGAGCGCAAAACAAACCAAAATGTACAAAAGGGAGAAAATTGCAACTGGGAGATGCAAGAACGCATGGGAAGCTACAGCTACCTACGAAGTACATTGCATGATGTACGTTCTCTCTTGACACAAGAACGCGGCCCATTCAACTCGATAAATCGCATGAATCCATCAGCAGCACGGTTGTCAAATTCTATCGAATGTCTGACGATAGTCAGCTGTTGTACAAATTTGATCTTCCATTTAGGAGCTTCACTGTGACTCCTTTCCTCACCCCCTGTCTTTACTGGAGTGCGGTCTTGCAGTCGTGCAGGGCGTTCAACTTGCATACCATCACTGTGCATCAGAATTCTGAAGTAGTTCTTTTCCTTAAGCTCTTCTGCGCTTGGAGCATCGCTTTATTTCAGCGGTTGTACAATGAGATCTGCGCGTGACACACTATGTCAAAATGCCCAGTAAGACGTGGTGTGAGCTTAGGGACAAGGACGGACTTGAACTTCTGACAGGCATGACATCAACACCACGTTGCCGGGGCAACCCGAGCGTGTCCATGGACCGGCTGGCATGTCGCGCCACACAGTGAACCATGGATTCATTTGAACTTCCCAATCCGCATTTTATTCAGCGTGACTCAGACGTGAAGGTGAAGTGGTCGAGCAGCCAGAGTCTGGGCGGCGCGAAGCCACGCTGGGCAATTGCATCACCCCATTGCTGCCAAGACCGTCGCTCACTCTCTGCCGCGACTTTCGTCCCACATTGCTCCCCGTCCTGCCGCCCTGCGGACAACTGAAGTCGAGCGTGGGGGCGCCGCAAGCGGCCGGGGCCGCAGCCGGGGCGAGCAAGCTCGCGCCATAGTGTGAGTTCGAGATCCCTGCCGTGCACTTGCTTGAGGGAGGCTTCCCAGGCGCGTCTCCGAAGAAAGCGTGGGTCACACGTCGCCGCGCCGCTGGCCGCGGTCGTCACCCACGGCCCCCCACCTCTGAAGGCAGCCACCCAGGCGCGGCGGAGGCGCGGCGGAGGCCTTCGGTTCATCAGCAGTTCGCTGATTGGCCATCTTCGATTCTTATCCGCAATCGGGGAGCCACCGCCAGGCGGAAGGTATGGCCTGCACATCGCTGGCCCTGCGGCGGTCCGCGCTTCCCAGAGATAGGGTCGGCTCCGCTGCGATGCATGTCTCTATTTGAATGTTGCGATCGCAGCACGTGCGCGTGTACTAGACAATCGTCGTCAGGCGCACGGGCGTTTGAGCATGAGCTCGGAACGTGTGAGACGAACGGCACTGCAACAACTTGCAGTCCTTGTCAAGGAGCGACCTTTCTTTTGGTTCAAGGAACATTTTGCCCAACGTCAAAACCTGACTGAGAACGTTGTTAAACAAGTGTAGATGGCTCATGTCCCAATGATCAATTGGCGCCAGCCATATGTGCAATTTTGGAATTGTAATGGTCAACAATAGTTGTTCCCGCTGCACTTAAACACAAAATAATTTTGCATCACTTGACTGTACAACTTCTGAACATAGGTTGCACTGAATATAAGTATCAAGTGGTGCTGGACTTGATTAACGGTATTCAAGGGCCGGACTTGGAGCACAGGTGCCTCCATCACTTTGAGAGGTTTCCAATTGGAGGATCACAATAAACGACTAGTCCATTGTTTCTGCGTTGATCATTTGATGGTTGTGCCAAGTTCAAATAGATCCTCACAAAAGCTAGTGTGAATGACCAGGGACCCCTGCACGCAATGCCTCATCAGCACCGATCTACAAGTTCTACAACAGAAGGCACTGAAACGATGGACGGCCCGGTGGGTTTCGCTGCGATTTTCTTGCTTGAATTAAACTAATTTAATTCTTTTGAAACAAATGTGCCCAAAAGAAGCAGTCGTATTCACAGCACGTCCCAAACCTTGCATCTCAACCTCGAAATGGGAGCCAGCACTGACCATGGTGAGGTTACCCAAAGGAGGGTGGGCGGGTGTCGCTGCTTACCAGAGAAAGTGTAACTTTGCTTCTAGCAGGTGACGTGCCTCCTTTTCTTTGCAATGACTCACTCAACATCTTCACAACCTCTCACCCGCTTCCCTCAAACGAGGCAACGACTCTCAGCCGAGAAGGGCCACTGCGGTGAGGACGCAGAAAACGTCCGCACCCTGCACTGCGGCCGACTCGACTGGCCACCCCCAGACCTAGATCCCCCGAACCCACCAAGTCCTTATCCAGCCCTTTCCGCCCCCATGCAGGGCTGGGCGCACATCCCATTCGGCGTCCTGGAGGCCGTCAAGTCCGCCATCGAGGTCGAGGCGGCCTCGGATTGGATCAGCAAGCCCTTCCTCAACACCGCCCGCCTCGTCAACCACCACTGGCACGCCTGGGCGACGGGCGCGGCATCCGCCCTCCGCCTCGCTCCCTGGAAGGTCCATCGCGACCGCGCCGAACACGGGATGCAGGACCTCGTCGCGAAGTTCACGGGCCTAAGGTGCCTGGTGCTGAGGGGCAGGCCGCCACCCCCGGCACTGGGGGCGACCTTTCGTTGCTGCGCGTGCTGCGCCGGCTGAAGAGGCTGGAGCTGGCGGGCTAGCGCGGCGCCAGGGACGACTGGCTGGGGAATGTGGGGCGGCTGGAAGGGCTGGAGGAGCTGTCGTTGGTGGGCTGCCACAAGGTGCTGCCCGGTTAGCCCCCCAGACCGAATCTTTTATTAAAAGGTATCAAGAGCCATTAAAATGACATTTAAGTTCTCGATGTCGTATTTCTTGAGATCTGAAGCGCGTTTTTTGAAATTCTGACGTTGCTTCAAGGGCTGCTTCTTGTTCGGCATGCCGGGGTTGATGGCAGTGGTGAATGCAGCATGGCACACGGTCCTTGGCACTCACAGGGCGTTGGTCGACCCACAGAGAATTGGTAAGCCCTTGCCAGTTTCTCACCACACTGGTAGAAAACGGCATGTCTGCGATGCAAACTGCGATGCTATTTTGACACAAAATGATGCTGTCACCCTGATTGCGATGGCATAAAAGTGGCTGTGATGGCATCGATTTGGGTCACATGGCGTCGCAATTGGCATCGCAAACAGGCTGTTTTCTACTGGTGCCAGCAGAAATGCCCGTGAAGGGTCTAGCCGACTGACAGATGCCTGTGTACGCTAACACAAGGTGGGCAGCGCGGGTTTGGCTGCGCTGACGACGCTGTCGGCGCTCACTGCTGTCAGCATCTGCAACTGCAAGGCGGTGAAGGACGCCGCCCTGCTGGAGCTGCGGGGCCTGGGGCTCAGGAAGCTCAGCCTCACCAACTGCCTTCAAATCAGGGACGCGGGGCTGCAGGCGGTGGCACAGATCGACGTCCTCAGCAACCTGAACCTGTCTGGGTGCACGGGGATCAGCGACGCGGGCGTCGCTGCACTTGCAGGCCTCAAGTCACTGACTGAACTGGACCTGACCGGGTGCCATCAACTCACCAACGCGGGGGTGGTGGCTCTCAAGCCTCTGGCGGATCTAAGGGCCCTTGCGCTGCAGGGGTGCTCTCGGCTTGGCAGCCGAGCCCTGGAGGCCCTGGCGACCATGCTCTCGATCACCAGCCTCAATTTGAGGTGCTTCGGACTCACCAACGAGGGGCTGGAGAGTCTGGCGAATCATCCGGCCCTCGTGGATCTGTATGTGGACATTCATCCGTATGGTTTTCTGCGCATGCCCCTCCCGCTGCACCCCAGGGTGGTGCTCCACTTGCGGCAACCGGAACGGCAGGATCCATGAATGCAATTTCTAGGAAGAAGTCACGTGACGTTCGTGGGTCCTGCTGCGTTGTCTATGGTTCATGGAATTCCTCGGGAGAGCTGTTTCTGTTCGCTATCATGAGGTCACCGAGCTCGCTGTTGGGAAGGGATACCGGCGAGCTGGTTATTGTGAGGGCCAGTGACATGGGTTCCAATGTGGTCAAGCCAAGCAGGATCCTGAAGGTGCCCGCTCAGGAATTGGCAATACGGGATCGAGATACCGTTTGTGCAAATTAGTGGCAGGGATAGTTCACCGATTGGGGCGGGCTGCGGACCGCCCCTGCCTAAAGCAGTGGCATGCAAAGCGTGTGGGGCGATGCGTGTTTTGCCTGTGCCAAGGCATGTACTTAAAAGAAGGTTCAGTGCATTTTGGAGAAAAGATGCCATTCCGGGCAACGTGGGGTGCTTTTCAACAATCGGCACAGCGCGTGTTTTCATAATTTGCCAGTTTGAGGCTGGCAGCTCGAAGGTGGCAGAAGTGAGGAGGGTTCTCGGCAGGAGAATGGAATACGTCGTCGAGTGTGATGATCAGGCGCTGTGCAGGGAGCGACCTTTGCTTCGAAATATGAGCAGAAAGAAGGCGGCACGATGTTCGGCGCGGAACGCAAGATGCGCCAGAGGGTCGGCATCCAACGTTGGAAATGATTGGTCTGATAATTCTGTCACCACAGGGTGTGTGTGTATGAGGGGCATATCTACTGAATGCATTGCTGGCAATCAGGTACCCAACCCATTTACTACTATATATGTGTTGCTGTGTTGTTGGTCCTCAAGCTGCAATTGCACCATTCTGAGGCTGCAAAGTGTTTACAAGGGCGCGTTTACTGTTCCGTCCGGATTTGCACAACCTGAGGAATGGCGGCAGCCAGTGGGTTGCTCTTGTGTCTGGGTGAATCCGCATCGCATGGACTCGGCCAGGGAAGCAGCCAGCCGAGCGTTTCATTTGCAAATATGCAATATTTAAATATTTAAATTTCCAATATTTAAATATTGGTGCGTGACATGATGCAGCCAAGCGCGGAGGGGTTTAGCAGACCAGGTGCTTCATCGCATGTTGTGCCCCTGCAATTGAACGCTTGCAATGACGCCTGCTTTGAAAACCTCAGCCTCTCCATCCACAATCAGTCGTCAAGCGAGCTTCAAACCATGTAACTGGGCTACGTAAAGCAGTTAAAAAGCTATGCGGTACTGTATTGAATTCAAATGGCCTGTCTGCCACTGTGGCCACCAAAATCATTCCCAATCAAACACTGCAAGGGCAGGACTCAGTATTGCATCCCATTGGGCCAAACATTGAGGACTCGCTTCAAATGTACTCAGCGTTGCTGCTCATGTGGCCAGTTGGCCAGGTGCCCAAGCAGCCAAGCGACAACCTTCCTACAAATCAACGGTATCTGCGAATCCAGAGGACAAAATTTCTTCCAGCGTGCTGCTCACATTCTGCATGGATGGCCTCCTTGAAGGCGTGGTTGAAAGGCAGCTCAACACAAGGTTGTGCAGCTCCTCTGGACAACCCTCAGGAATCCGGCATGGGAGCCTCTGGCCAGTAGAGCCCGAGAAGATGGGTGCCCCCTCGAACGGCTCTATCTCTGCTGCAACCTCACACATGACCACCCCGAAGCTGTACACATCGCTCATCAAAGTGCATGGTCCCCGTGCGTGTAGCTCAGGAGCAGAGTACGCACTTAACCTCGGGCGCAGTCCCTCCAGCTTCTGTACGTCTGTTGCCTGGGTCGTCAATGTACTGAAGCCGCTGAGTTTCACAACCAGACTATGGCTCTCGATGTCATCCAAAACATAAAAGTGCTTGGATCTTATGTCACAGTGCATCACTGGAGTCAGGTCCCCGTGCAAAGCCTCCAGAGCCCTTGCAGCTTCCAACAAAACCTTGCTCTTACGCTGCCAGGGCAGTCTGCCAGCCTGCTCCTGGTACCACTGTGCCAAATCCATGCTTCCGCCCTCCATTATAATGGTGCCACACCTGCTGAGTGCCAAAATGCGGGCAATTTGTGGATGCTGCTTGCCAAGCATGAGATGGGCAGCTGCCATGACCCTGCCAAATATCTCCCGGCTGGGCGTCTTGCTGTGCGCAATAACCTGCATTCTGACAAGTACATGGCGCTCTTCCCACTGCGATTGATACAACACACTCTCGTCGTCCCTGCTCACAATCTGATCAGTCTCCACCGAAATCTGATCATCAGTTATGAGCTCCACTTTTTCCAGCACGCCCATGTGCTTGGTCTTTGCATCATACCAGTGCTGCGGGCCATAAACCTCAGCACCGCTGTCTGATTCCCCATAAACGAACCTCAGCATGTCATCCATGGCATCCCTATCCTTGTCTACAACCTTGCTCGGAAGTTTGTCAGCAATTTCCATGTGCATGGGAAGTTTCATTTTGCAAGCACAGCGCCGAAGAATGGAGCAGAACTTTTGGACCAAACATTTCGTCTCATCAACAGAATACAGCATCTGCATATCCGAATACTGTGCATGCTGCCTGATGAGCTTTCCTCCCAATTTCAAGTGCGTTTTCAGTCTGTCACATTCCTCTGATAGGCTGTCTGTCGTCATATGGCACGAGAAGTTGGCAACAGTTGCCTTCTTGAATTTCTCCATCTGCTCGTACAAGAAAAGCAGCATATTGGAATTGTACCTCACATTAGCCACATCTTGACAAGCATCGGCAATGATGGTGTGCAGCTCTGGCAAGGACAGATCCTGAGCACGAAAGCACAAAATTTCGTTTGCAGTCCTTCACGAGATTTGCAACTGTCGCAAAATTAAATTGTGTCATTTTGAATCCCAGATACAGCTCCCCACACCAATATTTTTTGGACATCCTAGGCGTGTCATCTCAAGTGTGTTGTGGAGCAGCCAGACGACTACTGTTGTGAAATATCTGGCACTCTTCAGCATCCAAAAATCATGCTGTCTGGTGCTTTCTGGAAGACAAAGAGGACCCAGAAAATCAGGTGGCATTAGTTGGATGATATAGTGCCAGCGAACAATGTGTGGCCCAGGTGTGCTTGTCAGAAGAGTTGCAGCTCTTCTTGACACTGGATTGCACTGGGTGAGGTCAGATCCGCTGTGAAGGTGGGCACCAATGCAGTGCGGGTTTGGGATGTTTAAGTATAAAAAACGTGTGATACAGAACACCAGCGACACTGACATTTGATGTCTCGACGCCGCATTAATTCTGAATATTCACAAGGTCTGATGGATCACATAGAGGAATTTTTCGTGGTTCGTCTCTGCTGATTGGCGCGAACCACCGCCACTGGCACAAGGAGTGGGCGACCGAGCCGGGGCAAACATAGAAGGGACTGATTCACTCGCTCATGAGACTTTCAGCCGCATGCCCGTAACTGAAGTGACGTACTGCAGACTCACCAACTTGGTGGTGTACCAATTTACACCTCATATTGTGGTATACTGATTTACGCCTCATTTGAACCCGAACGTCTGCATGAAATGTTTTGGCCCCTTTCGTTATTCTTTTGCTACTTTTTCATTACATTTTTTGCTTCAGGAAACCATTCTTATCAGCTTTCCAGTCCGGCAAACTCTGTCAATGTGGATCACTTGGGCCTGCACAACCATAGCTGGGAAGTCTGGCCTTTTTTCGGCCGGCGCAGAGAGGGCACCCAAAATATTGCTTGCAGTGGCCATAAGCAGCTACAAGCTCTTGACAGCGAGCCAATTGGCATCAGCAGCTAAGAGGTAGGAAGCCACATTCAAGGACTTCTGTGCAGCAATCAGTTGGGCGCTGACGCACACACAAGCCACGAGAAGGTGCCAAAAAGGAACTCAAGGTCTTTGCACCTTTTCGCCGAGTCGGGCGTTTCCCTCAGGCATGTGTTAGTTTCACATGCTGGAATGTTGCAGCCAAACATTTGCACGATAAAATACTCTCTTGGTGTGCATATGTCTGCCCACCGCATCTGAAGAAACTACTGCATGCAAGGTTTTATGTCTGGATCTGATGCGGGCAAATTCTGGGCATACACCTTTATGAGTACGCATCATCTACCAAAGCACAAAACTCTGCCAAAAGTTGGAGCGGATCAATCCATCACACGCTTTGGAGTGTTATTTCAATCATGCCTTTGTGAAGAAAAGAAGGCTAGAAGGGAGCCGTGCCCTAAGATACGAAGAATAGAGCAAGGGGCAGCATAGTCCATGATAATTGCAAACACCAGGACAGAGGGTCCTTGGTGACAATTCCCCACGATATGCAGTCGCACTGCCCCACAGCCTCACCGCTATCCCCCCACCTCAACCACCCAGTAACCAGGTGAACATGCAAAATACAACATGATAGAAAGTTACCTAACTCAATTGCAAAACTCGGATTGAATGCTGCTACAATTTTTGGATATTTGGGTCATCGGAAATGGAATCCTAGCTGTCTCTTTAAGCTTTCAGCACCGGGATTTCTCACCTTTTCTGTCCAAACCATGGGCATCTCTGACACGGCACTGTACACCTCTTGTATGGTAGGCCTCTGCTTAGGATCCAGCTGGCAGCAACGCTTCATCAAATTATGCATCTCCTGAGGGCAATCCTTTCTGCTCACTGTACAAGGTTCCCTTCCTTGCAGTTTCATACTCATAACCACCGCTGGGACACCTGTGGGATCCCGGACATGTGTGGCATACGGATGCTTGCCAGTGACGACCTCATACATGACGACGCCGAGGCTGAAAATATCTGATGCCAGAGTTGCCACCCGTCCTTCGTAAAACTCAGGAGCCATCCATTCCAATGTGCCCCCTGGACCCCTGGCCGTCTTGCTCTTTGTATCTGTGGCGACTGTTGCAAAACCGAAATCTGCAAGCTTCACAACTATGCCATCTGGGCGTGACCCAAACAACAGAAAGTTGGAGGCTTTGATGTCGCTGTGCACAAGAGGAACATCCATTGTGTGGATATGAAGCAGTCCAAGGGTAGCCTGCTGGATAAGGTTGAGCTTCGCAGGCCAAGCCATGTCCTTATGCTCATCGCAAAATGTGCGCAAATCTTGGTCGGCCTGTTCCATGACAATCCACCCTGATTCTGTGATAGAATACAACTTGACAATGTGCAGATCATTGAGGGATGCAAGCCAATAAGCCTCTTTCAGGAACGCTGCCATGTCCTCAACTGACAGCTCATCAGCCCGCCGTGATGGCATCTTAACGGCCACCGACCCATGCTGGTAGACTGCTGCATGCACATGTCCCTCGCCACCGTGACCTAGTTTTCTAATAAGGCGAATCTGGCTCTCATTGACTTGCAGATGTTTAAACATCTCCTTGTGCTTATGTTTCGCATCTTTCCAGCTCAGAAGCTCGCTCTTATCTGTGCTATTGCATTCCTTCCCTTTCAATATGAACGAAAGCATGCTGCACAAGTGCTCACTGTCGGTTTTGACCACATCCTCGGGTATATTTGACTCAATTTGCAGATTGGTGGAAGGGCAAGAACGCCGTCTTTCTAAGGGATATTCTCGAATGGCTTCCTTCAGAAATTCACATATAGACTCCACAGCATCTCTTGCTTGCTTGGTTGTGTAGAAAGTTCTGATGTCAAAAGGCCGCTCATGCTTCTCTATCAGTCTTCTGCCCTTTATCAATTCTTTCCTCAAGTCCTCAGACCCTTCGCCAACCATCTTGAACATGTCGGTAACTTTTCCCATCTGGTTGCTCAGAAATTCCAGCATACCTCGGTTGTACTGCAAGCAAACCTGTAGCAAGGATAGCACGCTGAGCTTGCAACAGACCGTTAAGTCAAGGTATCAGCTTAAAGCTAGGTTCGGATTTCTCAGGAAATCACAATCAAGTCGAAGTTATGTCTCAAGCCAGGCAGGCATTGGAATACAGCGATTACATTCATGCTGAAACAGAATACATCACTGCATCGGGGCGCTGAATGCTCAATGGCCATCGTTACGCATTCGTGCATTGGAAAGGGACATTAAGCACGTTGGCGTGTAGTACACACACACGTTAAAGTACATGTACATTTACATGTCACGTACATGCAGAAAGTCAAACAACACCAAACACTGGAATAACGTTTTGCACATGTTGCATGTCCAGAATGCACAATTCAGATCCAATATTTGGACAATACTGTGGTGTTCCAAACACTTGCGAACATTTAATGAAAACGCATTTGTTGCGTAATATGTGATCTCAAGTTGTTAGAATACAGTAGGGGTCCCTATATAGACCCCCCCCCCCCCCTAGCGCCCCCGGCCCCCAATAGCGCCCCCTTTTTGGGCTTGTCACCATTTATGTAGTACTTTATGCAGCTTTGCTGCACAGTGGGACCTCAAACTAGCACAGGGGTCTGGTTTAGCGACCCCTATTTAGCGACCTGTCTAAGTTTAGTGGCCCCCTTTATGGCTCGTCACCGTTCCCATAAGGCTATGTTTCACTGCGGTAGGACCCAGCGCCCGCGACTTCGGCGCCATGACAGTCGCTGGCCCCAAAAGCCGATATGGACCCAGTAGGCTGGGTGTAGCGTACCCCCTCACACTGGTGGTCAAGGTACCCCGTACACTGGCAGCTAGGGTACCCCCTACCGGCGGCCGGAGTACACCCTATACTAGCAGCCAGGGTATCCCCTACTCTGGCGGCTATGATACCCCCTACACTGGCGGCCATGATACCCCCTACACTGGCAGTTTAGGGTACTCCCTACACTGGCGGCCAGGGTACCCTTTACACAGGTTGCTTAGGGTATCCCCTTGACACAATAAGGCCCCCGGCCCCCAATAGCGCCCCCCTTTTGGCCATGTCACAGGGGTGGGGGGGGTGGGGGGCGCTATATAGGTACTCCTACTGTAGTAGTTATTAGAATGGCAGAATCGCCTGGTTAATCACAGGACAGTGCGTGCGCAGCACATGTGGATGTCCGGCCTTATTAGAATATTGTAGAATACTGGTTATTAGAGTGTTCGAATGATACGCAACATGACATCTGCAAAACATCATCGAGAGGACTTTCCCTTCTGTTCTTGGTATAAAACTGGGCCTAGAAAGCAAAGAAACAAGCATAACACCACGTCTCTGAAATGACATCCTGCAACTGTGATACCCAAGTCATTAGTTAGCCTTACAAACCTCATTTTCTGTAAGAGCCTCTGATGCTTTCCACCTGGCTGTTGGGTTTCTCCTGACTGTATGGTAGATCAAACGACGAAGTGAAAAATCATTGACAGCATCCAAGTCTGGTGGTTTGGAGAATCCCAGAATCATTCGGCATATCGCTGAGCTCTTGAGGTCATGTCTAAACAAACTCACCCCTGTACACATACCACAAATATTATGGCCATTGGTGTCCATAACTGAAATGAATTCGAGAATTCACATCGTGGTGGACAATAGGTGCATCGAATGTTACGCAAGTGTGAATTGTTTTTGGGATACATGTGTATTACCACATAAGCAGCACAGAAGCCCAAAATGACTCCTTCTGAAGAGACTCTTGCTCGTTTGCTTTCCGATTCGGTACACAGATTTGTATTTTGCTCAGCAACGCTGAAGTTGCCAATTGATGATGCATTCAACAGACAACACAAAAGGCAATTAGGAAAGCATATGTTTGGGTGGCAATCGGCAAAGAAAAGATGTTGTTGTGCATAAATAGCCCAATGTGGAGCTGTCACGCCCACTCAGGTCACTGACTTTTCTTCAAGTGTCAGGTATGTTCGGATGTAGGGTTTGTCTTTAAAGGTTTTTCAAGGTTCTTAGGACATAAGGTAGAAGATTTAGCGTTTGGGTCTTCTGGTCTCGACACCTAGTCATTGTGCCCTGCAATCTGTGGGAGCTGCAACAAAGATGATGGGCCATGACTTGACAATGGCTGCATTGAAGCAATTGCAGAGGTGCCTGGGTAAGTACTCCAAATGTTGCCACATGGTGCAGCGGTGCAGCAAGATGGCCCATGTCAATCACAGTGAGGTATTGGCAAGTCCAACACGTCTGGGAACATGCACTCTCTATGTTCATGAGAGCTGCTGTGCCTGGTGCCTCCCAGGGGCACGCAGTACACAGGCAATCAGACATACAAGCACTGAAGCGCCCCAAGAAGCGATGGGATGGTCCCATATGATGGTCAGTGCCATCTTGGCAACATGAGGGTGGTCGTTGGGGAATCCAACACTGCAGGAGGAGGCACACGAAAAGATGAATGGTCATTTTTTTAGGTATACCAAGAAAAGGCGATTGTACATATTTTGTAAAAATTGGATCCAGGCACAATGACATGGTTCAAAGGCATGAACTTGACTGCTACTCAAAACGGACCTACAGACCTGAAGACAAGGGCAGCAGACACATCATCCATCACCAGGTGCATCTGCAGCCAAGAATAAGCGCAGGAGCCCCACAGACCATCTGCGGTAGTTTCCAATTCACCACGTCAGCCATTCTTGGGCTGGGGGTGAGTCCACCTAAATTTTCGCTGAAAGTGTTGTAAAGAGTGGGCATTGGACATCAACCACTGAGAAAGATTATGGCTTAAGTTTGGGAGGGTGAATGCAAGACAAATTTCCATGGAAGCTGGAAAAACATTTGTAGGGATGTGCAGAAATGCTTGGAATCTGCTTGGAATCTGTGTTCTTCTAGATGAGTGTTTTTGGGTGGATTGCAGTCATTGTCAAGGTAATATTGTGTGATCAACAATTGAACTGAATGAACTCCAGTGTGCCCAAAAGAAGTGATGGGCATCAAATGCCAAACTGCATTAGATTCGATACACCTGTTTTTCCTGTCATCTCTGACAAAGCAATGACACATGTTACTGCCAGGGACTATACAGGCACTCAAGGAACATGTATTATCCAAACATTCAATCAGTTTTTCTTCCATCATTCCTCATTGGCCAGGCAACAACCTTCCCTTCACATTGTGCTTCACTGTATGCCCCTATTCAACCAACCTATGTAAAACATACCTGCTGCAAGCTCATACACAATGGTGCCAAAGCACCACATGTCTGTTGCTGTATCCAGTGGCATTTCTGCATTGCGACGAACATGTGCCACCAACATCTCTGGTGACATGTACCGCAAGTTGCCACTGATGCGGCCACACTCGCTCTCATGGGTCCAGTGGTGTAGGCCACCAAGTTTCCACCTGTCCTCTTCAGGGAAAAACATGATGTTGCTTGGCTGCAGGTCACGGTGGACTATACCATTCTTGTGAAGTTCATGCAACCCCTCCAAAATCTGCAACAATACAGTGACACACTGTAAATTTGGCGACTAAATACGCCCCTTTGTGAGTTTCAAAATTTGATGATAGACTATGCATCATGCCCTGCATGACGATACATTAGTCATCCATAGCACAGGAAATGTATTTTCACAAACCTGATATACTACGCGTTTCACTGTTGCATAGCTTGGTTTCTCTGCCTTCAGCCAACCTTCAAGGGTGTAGGACCCAGTCTGGAATACAAGCGCGTCTGGGAAGCCCGAAACATCAGAAGAAACCACGTCTTCAGGTCTAGAAAACGAACACAACAGGGCTATTAAATACAGCAAGTACAACAAAACATGTCTGACTTTTCCAAAGGAAGGTACTATGTCGGTTTTGATATGTAGCGTCAATTTAAAAACTGGGGGTGGGGTGGGGTGGGGAGGGGAGGGGGGAGGGCCTGAACCTGTGATGCTATTACCAATTTCTATCGCCAAAAAAGCGACATAAGCTCAAAAGATCCCAATAATGCCACTGACAAGTAGCAAGGAAGTTAGGACTTGTTCCCAAACTTCCCTCATGCCCTCAATCATCAAAGAAGACCCAATAATGCCTCAACTGACGGCCACAACTTTGCCCCCATCGTCTGCCATGGCCGTCCGCATCCCAATTTCCACCATACCATAGTCGCTGCAACTCTAGCTATTGTCCTTTGTTGAGCTATAAAGTTGTACCACACTTTGGTAATGTTGCTGAGTCAGTCTGGTTTGGCATAAGGATTGATGCCAAGGAGAAAAGGTTGTAAAGATTTGTTGCAAATCAAATAAAACATGTCATACAAAGGACACCCCTTCTGCAACAAATGTGTGTGAGCTTCTTCCATATTGCAAAAAGATGATACATAGCCTCCCCGATGGGAAGAATATCACAACGAGTGCACTAAGGAAAGCGAAAACAAACAATAAGGGGGGCCCGTATGAACAGGTCCAAATGTGTGTAGCACAAAAACTAACTCGAGATCTACTCAAGGCCTCAAAAGGTTAAGAGGCAGGTCTACAACACTCCACTATACTCCTCTAGGCTCCGTCAGGATGAGCCTGATGAGCTTCACAGGACTCGTACCCCCCATTTAATTCCGACTGGAAAGAAAGCAGGGTGTGTGGTTTCAGTGGACGCCACGGGGTTCCTTTGTCCTCATTAAAGCTCCATTGCGCATGGGAAGGCTCAAGGCCCCCGTTGGCACTACAAAATCCGGTTAACGCCCAGAGCACAACTGAGCACTGGGGACGGGCCAGAATTACTTAGATCTGATGGAGCTTAAGGGGCAAGTCTACCACAGATCGTTGGGGAGGGTTGGCCCGCCTTTGGCACCTCTGGCATGCCTCCCAGCTGGCGCTGAGTGGTGCCACAAGTGGCACTTCCGGTGACCGGTGCTCCCAATGCCAACTATGGCGCTGGTGAGATGGTTGGGGCGCCTGTGGCACTGCCCCTTTGCTGCATCACCTTTGGATCGACTAGCGTCAAGACATCTCCCAAGATGTACGGGGTGGTGGCTTTTGGCGCCTTGCTATGTGTGGCACCTTTTGTGGTGCCCTTGATGTGCTAAAATCTCTGACGAAGTTTTGTTGACTTGAAAGGTTGCATTCAACTCCCAGTGCCCTTTGGCTCCACATGGCTTCCTATAGCGCCAGCGGCTTCTAGCGGCTCCCAACACCCCGACATCCGAGGCCCAGACGGACCCCAAGGAACTGTGACTGGCACCTTGTGCAGCGAGCGGCCAGAGGCGAAGGGACCAAGAAGGGGGCGGCGTCCAGTGGCTGATCCCCGCCCCCAGCCCCTCCCCCCCCCTTTCCCCCCACCATGTTCAAGCAAAACGGACCCACAAGGAACCTATCAAGACACACGAGCACACGGGGTGGGGTGGGGTGGGGTGGGGTGGAGGGGGGGTTCTGAGTTTAATAACAAATTGATGCTAAGCACATCAAAATTGACATAGCGCCTTACCTAATGAGGATATAAACATGTGCAGGGTTTTTAGTGATCCTTCTATGGCAAATGTGTTGAAACTGAGTTGGAATCACGATGCCCGCAAGTGTTGCAACAACATGGATAAATAATTTGCCAGTCAATTCGTTCCCTACATTCAATCCACTCTTTTATTGTGTTTGATTCAGATCTGTCTATCTACAAAACACATCAATCAACACCAAATTTTCACATCCACTTCAAGTTCAATTGGCTTTCAACAAATAGACTTGATTCATTTTCACGCGATATTTTAGAGAAATTCATGTTAGTCATTTTTTTCCTTCGTTGATGCAAGTGTGGTCTGTTTTGGCAACTCCCAGCTCTGTCCCTTCATGAAGAGATAAGAATGATCTTTCTCAAGGTTGAACCTCTGGAGGCTCTAGAGCCTTGCCCTTTTCCTCTATTACAGTCTGAACAGCTTCCTAAAGAAGACTGTGAGCACATCTGACGCTCTGTATGAGAGAAGTGGCATGCCCATCATATCGTCATGTGCATCTTGTTGAAAGCTACTTCAAGCACCTAACAGTCAAGCACCCACCTTGCAACCAGTGCACCGGAAAGAGATTCATACATGTCACTGTCTCTTTCGAACATCCTGTTGTCAGAATAGAATTTTATCAATACAGAGGAATCTCCGGTCTTGTCCTTGCCATGCAGCACCACGGAATTGGGACCAGTGGAATGCTTGCGCCCAATCACATATCTGTTAGCGAGGCAAACAAGCAAAACACATGTCATCATGAGAATTAGCTCACCATTCGCTGACAATTGCTTCATGTTTCTGTTTAAATTCAGCAAATTTTGCCACAAGCTTGTTGCTCAGAAGCAGCCAGTTTGGGCTATGCACTCAGTTGCTGATTCAAAACAATTAGACCCAACAGGGCATGACAAGGACATGCCTCTGACCCATTGTTATTTACCTGTTGTATGTGCACTGACTGCTCAACAGTAATGGCCCCAATAACAACAAAAATAAACATGCCACATCAGGATGCAAATGTACGCTGCAAACAATCTATTATTCATCACAAAATTACCTTTGCAGATTCTGCTAAAGCCTTCATATCAACCGCTGCCAGGCGTGTCTTGAAGATCGAAGACATGGATCCGGAACTTATGTAGTGCATTTGTACGCCAAAACAGGATTGCAACAAAGGCAGTTCAGGAATCATTTGCCGATGCAGGGGATATTTAACTATATGAGCACAACCAAGTCACACAGAAATTCTCAAACTCACCTGTTTACAAAGATGGAGCCCGCCTCCAGGTTCTGTAGTGTGCTGCTCAGCTCTGATGTACTTGCATGCTTCCCAGTGGCAAGATCACAAACCTCTGAGCCAAACGCTGACTGGGCAGCAGCATGTCCAAAGTATTCCAACATGTCATTGGTGATATTGTCAATGGATGTTAGCCCTCTGTCCGCATCAAGCACCCAATATTCATTGAAATGCCTGTGCTGACTTTTTTTCCACCAGAAAAGCATAATGATAGCTCCCATGATTGTCAACGATATTGTGCTTGCCACCAGGATTGACACTACCAGCAAATTGCTTGGTGTTCCAACCTGCAAACACGATTCGAAAAAAATTCAATATCTTGACCACATTATAGCAACAATTAGCACTGGTTGGAGATGTTTGGAGGACATCTTTGTTATGCAGAAATTTCTTGAAATGCGAGTTTTGACCCACAAGCTCAAAGATTTACTCACTGATCACTGAAGCACCCAGATGCTTCACACAGTCTTGAGATGTGCACCAAAGGGAAGCACCTGATTTATTGCAAATGCATGCATCAGCACCAGCATCTGGCTATGTGCTGATGCAATTTGGAACTTAAGGTCAGAACATCTATGGCACATGGTTTCAGCACCATAAATATGGAAGAGCTGCGATAATGGCTTTCTGGCTATGGGCAGACATCAGTCCCCTCTATGTTCTCTGTCCTGCAGCTTTCTCTGATGCACATGCAAAATGTGGGCCATCCCCTCACTGTGAGCAATACAAGCACGGTATCTTAACATATTATTGACCACGTTTGCCAGGTTGGAGGGAAGCCAATGGCTGACATGCGAAGGTACCCAGTGTATGGCTATCGCCTAGTTGTTCCTTTTTCAGAAAGAAGACATGGTATACAAAGGGAACTAACTCCCTTTCTGAGTAGAAATGGTGATGCCAGAAACTACTCTCCACTGCGAAAGATTATCATACAATTTGAATCTGGCACACCTCATTCCTCAGCATCAAGGGATCAGTCCCGCCAAAGTATTCAAGATGAGAATATCGCTATGTATCAGAGTAGAACTGTTACACATGTGCTCAATTCACACCTGAAATGTGAAATGAAGATTTCACCAGCAACAAACCCTACATACTGTTCTCTTGGAGTGCGACAAAAATGGCCTGAAAGGCAAACACAGCATGGGTGTCCAAAACGCTGTGAGGCGCCAATGGCGCGCACACACTATAGGGAGGGGCCCCCTGCCTTGCCGAAATGGGGCAGGTGCACAAATTCTGGTGCATGGCTTCAGACGAGTTGGCTGAAGTTTGAGCTGAAATGGCCAAAACACTGGTGCAAGGGGGCTGCTGGACAACCTTAAATTCGCCAACATGGGGTGGGCACATCCGATTCGGCACCCAATTTCAGCCAAAACCATCAGAGCAGAAGCAGGGGGAGGGCTTGGGCCAGGTGAAATGGGGTGCGCGCTACTATTTCGACTGACCACTTGTCCCAATTTGGTTGCGGTGCTGCCATTTTGACAGGCCCAGGACTTCCTTCATGCTGCATGCAGAGCGTTTTGGCCAATTCGGCAGGCCTGGGCACTGTCCTCATGCCCATGCACTGTGTTTTGGCCATTTTGGCAGCTACCCCTCTCGATCTGTTCGCAGAACCAGCATTTCAGCAGACCTGGACACCTACCCTAATGCCCTGCACACTGCATTTCGACCATTTTGGCTGCCCACTTGCCTCGGTCTGTTAGCAGCAGCACCATTTTGGCAGGCTGGGGCACTTCCCTTGTGCCCTGTGCACTGCATTCGGGCTATTTCTGCTGGCCACCTACCAATCTGCTAACGGTGCCAATGTTCTGGCATGTCTGGGAACTCCATTGTTTCCTGTGCAGAGCGTTCTGGGGGTTTTGGGCGCTCTGGCCATTAGGACCGCTTCAGCACGCAGTTTTCAGAAAACTCTCAATTCCTACTTTTCTGCACAAGTATTCCTACATATCTGCACAAGGCAATGAACCATAGGGAAGTTTGCTCACCACAATGGTCCCTTCTATCCACTCTGCATAGCTTGTCACCCTTGTGTACACCGCTGAGACCCCAGACTCGTTGCAGGCTTTCTTTTCCCCAAACGACGTGATGCCCACGACAGTATCAAGTTCAGGGTTGCCGTTTCTAACGTCGCCATCAGGCTGGAATGTCACCAGCAGAGGGCCGCCACTGTCTACTGCATGTCCAACAAGAACAAAGTCAAGATGTCACCATGTGTTGTTATTTAAGTGTCTACAGGCGATGTGTCAATAACCTTATTGCAGGTCATTCGAACGATGAATAATCTTCTGTCTTTCACCCACTAGGCGATTCATGTTATCAGTGACTTCAATGTTTGTAAGTGCTCCACAGTAGACCTCCAAATACAGAGCAAAAAATGGCTTTCCCTAGGGTGAGAGCACTCGGGCAGTGCACCTGTCAGCGCATCAAGTTAGGTGGGAGATATAGATCTCCCACAAGACAGCTGGGCACCGGACTTCTGGGCCAGTCTGCTGCTGTTTAGGGATAGCACCACAGACACTGCCAAAGCAGACACACATAGGGAAACTGTGAAACTGCCCTGTACACTGCTGCTTCCAATTACTTCACTGATGCAATCTTTTCCAATTACTTTTCTCAGGCATCAAATTAATTTCTCCAGTATTGCTATCCAATATCGGGTTAGTGGCTTTGGTGCCCTTGTCCTGCGATCAAGAGACCATGATTTGTGACTCATCAGGTTACAGCCTCTAGACAAGTGCTTACGGCATTGCCACCAAATTCTGCTGCCATGCCGATATTGTGGGGAAACCGTTCCTGAAGAGGCAGTGCATAGCCACTCGCTCAGGTGACCAGCCAACATTTTGTCTCTGAACTGATGTTATAACAATAACCCCAACATCTCGAATATCAACAACAGCACCATCCCGGACACACCTGAGCTGAGCCAAAGCAGGGAATCGTTGTATGTGCAACAGATGCAGTCAAAGCTGAATTCCACCAAAATGGCAACTGCGGACTCATTACGATCACTGCAAGCTCTCTGCTGCATGCTGTAGCTCAATCAAGCATCACAGCAATTTGGGTGAGGGCACATGGCTACTGAGCTGCTCAGCCAGTTCAACAGCTCACAGTTTTCAGCAAAGAACTCATAGCACCAACAGGACACTGCATGTACGGGGCCATACCTGGGCAGGTATCAACACCCTCGAATCCAAAAGCGCAAAGCATCGAGTCTTGGATGACATCCTGCCAGATGCCTTTGCACAGTTCGTTTTCCTGGACGATCAGCTCATTCGTGAACTGCAGGGTGTTGGCGGGCAAACCATCGTCGGATATGCCAAATCCCAGTGCAGAAACCTTCCTTTGGTTCAGCAGCTCATCAGGGTTGGTTGCAACAGAAACTGGCACGTTTTGTGACTCACTGTTAAGCTTCACCAGCGCGATGTCATATCCGTCCTCAGCCATTCCCGTAAACTTTGGGTGGACCTCGATCCTCTCACTTGTGAAGAACTGGGGCAAGCAGTACACTTCTAGTCAGAACCACTAAGTACATCTTTGAATGAACTAAAACTAATGTGAGCCAGAGGGAGACGCAGAAAAGGAAACAGAGACAGGTTACCATTGTTACAAAAGTATCATCACGTTTCCAATTCACATCAACGGCAGGCAAGGCATGCGAGTCATTAAAACTTGACTGAAGCAACTTTGACGCGCTGTACTGAGAATCATCTGTAGAGCCCTCAGACGTAGCAAACACCGCCATTATTCTTGCGTTACGCCATGAGGAGTGTAAACACGACTTGGTGTTTTGGCATGACCTGGGACGGGGAATGACGAGCTCGTCTGGCCCTTCAAAGAAGTTGGATCGAGCTGAGTTGTCTCTGGAAAAGCATGACTTGGTGGCTTGGTATACACTAAAGATGTGGCTAAATTCCAAGCAGAACTCGCACAGCAACAGATGCAAACTTGCCACAGATTTTCGGGTGTCAACAAGAAATGTGTGTATGTTGTGGTCGAAGGCCAGGAGACACTTAGATTAGCGCAACATCATTGATCTAGCCGACGCCCCACGGTTAGGAAGGCTGATGCTGGCCAAAAGTTGGCCTGCGTTGAGTCCAGCATGGCCAATCGTTGAAATTAGGAAGTGTGGAGACACGATTCAGCATAGCAGAAAAGATTGTCCACAAAGCGTAGTTTCGCAATGATGCCCACACTCTTTAAAGTGTATAGTAGTGCCTTTACATTGCCAACAGCAACATTCTTGAATAATTGGGGAAAATGGGTTGGTACATACGGCGATAAAGGGAGCACAAAAATATGGGGAAATCAGACCCTGACAGAGGTGGACAGGGACAATTTTGACAAGGATGTGAATTTCCTGCTGTATGGCGATGACAAATACTACATCAACCCGAAATCGACCAAGGAATCCGAATCTGGGGGCAGATTGACTAACTGAGTTGATCCTGCACAGTTATGGCAGGATTGGAAAAGCGACAATACTTCTGTAACAGAGGTAGTTTTTCCAAAACCTAGCAGGCACCCTTTTGGATTAGTTTGACATCATTGTCTCAATGAACACTTAGCTGCACTGCATTTGTAGCAGAACTGCTTGAAGCGGTGCTATGTGCGGAAGCCTAGCATCCCTTCACTAGCAGATCGTAGCCTGAGGGCAACAGGCTCTTTCCATATTATCAAACATGCTGATGAACAAATGGAACACAAATTCAACAAAATAGGTGCAAATGCATATTCAATCAGAATTAAGAGTGGTCACAAACTTTCAGCATACTGCGGCACACTGTTTGCTGGCCTCTCTGCTGTGCATCGCGACAATACATCACCTTCCAGTGCAGAAGCAAAGTCTTGGATATATTGCTCACCGCAAAGTGCACATATATTACACAAAACGGCTTCCTGAGCGACCAGGTTTAGAGCAAGTTCATCCATATACATGGAGCGGATAGAAATGTTAAGAATTCATTAGCCTGGACGAAAAGGGACATATCGTATTTACCCGGTATTAGTAGGCAATCCCTATTAATATCCACCCTCCTCGGTAGAGGTCGAAACCATGTTAGTATCCATGAACAGGTGTTAGCATCCACACCCAAGCCTCAACAGAAATGAGCAAAGGCGCGGATAGTGGCAAGGGAAGTCGGCGGCTGGTGTTGGACCCCGTTGCCCAGTCTGGACCAAACCGCGTTCCCTGCGATTCGCACATCGACAGGGAGGATCGGGTCGGGGTGTATGCTGTTGAAGGAGAATTTGGAAGGGTGCCAGCGAAAGGTCGCACGGTCGACTGGCCCCCGTTGGCGTTCTCAGCGCAGGATCGCAAGGCAGCGACCGACGCCGCAAGGCCCGATCAAAGAAGCGGTCGAGAATTCAAAGCCGCGCTAGCGGGGGAGCAGGTTGGCTCAATCCAGAAACCAGCTGGTTTCTGGATTGAGCCAACCTGCTCCCCAGGTGGCCAGAGCAGGTTCCGGCCTGGCGCGCCTGGCAAGGGTGCCCCAAGGCCCAGCGCCAGGAATGGGCCAGCGATGGCATAGATCGGGGCAGCTGCCATTGTGAGACCCCGCCTTGCAAAACTGCCCACAAAATGCTGCAAAGGCGGGGGAAAACACATCTCGCTGGCTACCAGACCCAATCACAGATTCCATCAGCCTTCCCAGCCGCCATCAGCGAGGGAAAACGCCACGTGTCAAGCATCGTCGCGACGTGGTGGCCCAGCGAGTCAATACCCATGTCATGCCTTGTTCTTTGCGTTGCAGAGGAAAATGCGCCTCCGGCATTCCAGTGAACCCCTGTCGACCCCAATCGCCAGTGGCCACCACCTGGTGCAGCCCCAAGTCAAGGCCGCCAGCTCCTGTGAAGAGGCTGACAACATTCCACACTGGCATCGCCATTTTTGCCCATTTCTGGGCATTTCACGGCCTATTTGTCAAAAAATTTCTTTGTCTACTCTTTGGAATCAGGGGTCCAAACCGCGGTAGTATACATGACCCACTATTATTATCCAGAGGTCATTTTGGGGGTCCGATACACATCTACCAATACCGGGTAAACACAGTAACAGTACTGATATGTTCTGCCACACTGTTTGCCAGCTGCAATACTCTACAACTGACTTGGACAAGACAGATGGTGCCCATTCACCTTACAGGCGAGGACTGGCGTGTGCAAACGCTGTTTGCAAGAGCAACTTCATCCATACACTATTCTGCCAGCAAGTCACAGACTGGAGAGCGTCAATTAATGCCAGATGCCCCACACAATGGGCGCAATGGTACAAACAATGCTGGGGTTACCATTCTCTTCCACACATTTGCTGATATGTCCTGATCACACTTGCAAGAATCAGACTGTACTACACAGATCACATTGTCACAACGTCACTCTCACATTGGCACTAATTTCAGATCTCAGGTGCATTGCCCTTTCCCCTGAGTCAACAAAACGAATGTGAATCGGACACTGCTTCTGACACACGGGTTCAAAGTTCCAAAGCCATTATGCTATCTCAGCTTTAGAAAGTGACACACTGGACCTGCCTCAACAACGCGCCCTGAGTCTTCTGTGCCGCGCTGGTCCGTGATGTCGCACAGGCCAAGGACAATCACATGTGTGGGGTAAAGCGGTGAGGGTTTGTCCACACAGTGGGCTGCAGTCAGCACCCACTGCTTGCCAATCAGCACTCCCCCGCAAATGTGGAAGCCTGAAACGCTCTGTAAAGATGCCATGTAGGGGAAACGGCCGCACGGTGTTTTCCCTTCGCCCCCTTTGCCCTGCAGATCAATCAGCCAAAGATAAAGTAGCAGCAGAATTGAGGCGCACACAGGGCTGGCATAAAAGAGAAGTGGTGTATGATCAGCTGCCTTCCAGAAGCACATGAGGCAGACCTATTGATGACCCAATTCCGCACCGAACACTGGCCGAAACCATCAGAACAGAAGCGGGGGGAGGCCTTGGGCAACGTGAATTGGGGCATGCGCCACTATTTCGAGTGGCCACTTGTCCAAATCTGGTTGCGCTGCCGCCATTTTCGCAGGCCCAGGACTTCCTTTGTGCTGCGTGCATGGCGTTTTGGCCAATTCGGCAGGGTACTGCCCTCATGCCCGTGCACTGCGTTTTGGCGATCTTGGCAGCTATACCCCTCTCGATCTGTTTGCGGCGCCGGCATTTCAGCAGACCCAGACACTTCCCTCGCACCCTCTGCGCTGCGTTTCGACCGTTTTGGCTGTCCACCTGCCTTGGTCTGTTAGCAGCACCACCATTTCGGCAGGCTGGGGCACTTCCCTCGTGCCCTGTGCACTGCATTGGGGCCATTTCTGCAGACCGCCTCCCAATCTGTTAAAGGTGCCAATGTTGCGGCATGTTTGGGGAACTCCATTGTCCCCCGTGCAGAGCGTTCTGGGGGTTCGGGCGTTTTGGCCGTAGGGCTGGTTCAGCATGCAGTTTCCGAGAACACTCTCAATTCCTACTATATACTTCACAAGGCCAAGAACCATAGGAAAGTTTGCTCACCGCCATGGTCTCTACTATCCACTCTGCATAGCTTGTCACCCTTGTGTACACTCCCGGAATCCCAGACTCGCCACAGGCAACATTTTCTCCAAACGATGTGATGCCCACGACCTTATCAAATTCAGGGATGCCGTTTCTAATGTCACCACCAGGCTCGAATGTCACCAGCAGAGGGCCGCCACCATCTCCTGCTTCTCCACAAAGAACGAAGTCAAGGTGTTCACATGTGACATAACTTAGTGTCTGCAAGTGATGCATCAATATCCTTACTGCAGGTCATTGAACCATGAATAATCTTCTGTCCTTCACCCACTAGGCGATTCATGTTACCAGTGTGTTCAACGTTTGTAAGTGCTCCACAGTGCACCCCCAAATACAGAACAAAAAATGACTTTCCCTAGGGTGAGAGCACTCGGGCAGTGCGCCTGCCAGTGCACTAAGTTAGGTGGGAGATGGTGATCTCCCACCAGACTGCTGGGCACCAGACGTCTGAGCCAGTCTGCTGCTGTTTAGAGATAGCACCACAGACACTGCCATATCAGATGCACAAAGGGAAACTGTGAATAGTGCCCTGTACGCTGTTGCATCCGATTTCCTCGCTGATGCAATTTTTTCCCATTCCTTTCTCATATTTTCTCCAGTATCGCGATCCAATATCAGATTAGTGGCTTTAGTACCCTTGTCCTGCAATCAAAAGACCATGATTTTATGACTCAGCACGTTACAGCCTCCAGCAAAGTGCTTACAGCATTGGCACCAAATCCTGCTGCCATGCCGATATTGCGGGGAAACCATTCCTGAAGAGGCAGTGGCAGTGGATAGCCACTCGCTCAGGTGACCAGCCAACATTTGTCTCTGAACTGATGCCATAACAATCACCCCAACATCATGAATATCAACAGCAGTACCACCCTGGACTCACCTGAGCTCAGCCAAAGCAGGGAATCATCGTATGTGCAACAGATGCAGTCAAAGCTGAATTCCACCAAAATGGCAACTGCTGACTCATTACGATCACTGCAAGCTCTCTGCTGCATGCTGTAGCTCAATCAAGCATCACAGCAATTTGGGTGAGGGCACATGGCTACTGAGCTGCTCAGCCAGTTCAACAGCTCACAGTTTTCAGCAAAGAACTCATAGCACCAACTGGACACTGCATAAGCATGGCCATACCTCTGCAGGTATCAACACCCTCGAATCCAAAAGCGCAAATCATCGAGTCTTGGATGAAATCCTGCCAGATGCCTTTGCACAGCACGTTTTCTATGACGATCAGCTCATTCGTGAACTTCAGGGTGTCGGCGAGCACACCGTCGTTGGTTATGCCAAATCCCAGTGTAGAAACATTCCTTTGGTTCAGCAGCTCATCAGGGTTGGTTGCAACAGAAACTGGCACGTTTTGTGACTCACTGTTAAGCTTCACCAGCGCGATGTCATATCCGTCCTCAGCCATGCCCGTAAACCTTGGGTGGACCTCGATCCTCTCACTTGTGAAGAACTGGGGCAAGCAGTGCACTTCTAGTCAGAACTAAGTACATCTTTGAATGAACTAAAACCGATGTGAGCCAGAGGCGGAGGCAGAATTGGAAACAATGACATACTACCCTTGTTACAAAAATACAATCATGTTTCCAATTCACATCAAAGGGGGCCAAAGCAAGCGAGTCGGGAAAAAAATGACTGAAGCAACTTTGACGCGCCGTACTGAGAATCATCTGCAGAGCCAACAAACGTAGCAAATGCCACCACTATTCTTGCGATATGCCGTGAGGAGCCAAAACACGACTAGGTGTTTGTCAGGACCTGGGACGGGGAATGACGAGCTCGTCTCGCCCTTCAAAGAAGTTGCATCGAGCTGAGCTGTCTCTGGAAAAGAAGCATGACTTGGTGGCTTGGGATGCACTAAAGATGTGGCTAAACTCCAAGCAGAACCCGCACAGCAACAGATGCAGGCTTGCCGCAGATGCTCGAGTGTCAACAAGAAATGTGCGTATGTTGTGGTCGAAGGCCAGGAGACACCTAGTGCAACATCATTGATCTAGCCGACGCCCCGTGGATAGAAAGGCTGGGCATGCTGATGCTGGCCAAAAATTGGCCTAAGTTTAGGCCAACATGGCCAATCGTTGCAATTAGGAGTTTCGGACACAGAATTCAGTACCATCGAAGAGATCTTCCACACAGCATGTTATCGCAATGATGCCAAAACTCTTGAAAGCATGTGGTAGTGCCTGTTCATTGCCAACAGCAACGCCCTTGAATAATTTGGGGACATGGGCTGGCACATATGGGGATAAAGTGAGCACAAAAGTATGGGGATATCATCACCTGACAGAGGTGAACAGGGACGATTTTGACAAGGATGTGAATATCCTGCTGTACGGCAATGACAAATACTCGAAATACCCGAAATCGACCAAGGAATCCAAACCTGGGGGGCAGATTGACTAATTGAGTTGATCCCGCAAAGTTATGGTGGGATTGGAAAAGCGACGATACTTTTGTAACAGAGGTAGTAGCTTTCCCAGAACCTAGCAGGCACCTTTTGGATTGGTTTGACATCATTGTCTCAGTAAACACTTAGTTGCACTGCATTTGCAGCAAAACTGCTTGAAGTGGTGCTATGTGCACAAGCCTAGCATCCCTTCCCTAGCTAATCGCAGCCTGAGGGCAACAGGCTCTTACCATATTATCAAACATGCTGATGAACAAATGGAACACAAATTCAACAAAATAGGTGCAAATTGCATATTCAATCAGAATTAAGAGTGGTCACAAACTTTCAGCACAATGCGGCACACTGTTTGGCTGCCTCTCTGCTGTGCATCGCGACAATACATCACCTTCCAGTGGAGAAGCAAAGTCTTGGATATGTTGCTCACCGCAAAGTGCACACATATTACACAAAACTACTTCCTGAGCGACCAGGTTTAGAGCAAGGTCATACGTAGATATGGAGCCGATAGGAAAGTTCAGAAATCACTGCCTGGACGAAAAGGGACATAACAGTACTGATATGTTCTGCCATGCTGTTTGCAAGCTGCAATACTCTACAACTGACTTGGACAAGACAGATGGTGGCCATTCACCTTACAGGCGATGGCCAGCGTGTACACACGCTGTTTGCAAGAGCAACTTCATCCAAACACTACTCTGCCAGCAAGTCACAGACTGGAGAGGGGTCAATGAATGCCAGATGCACCACACAATGGGCGCAATGGTACAAACAATGCTGTCTTCCAAGCAACGTTATATATGGGGTTCGGGTTACCATTTTCTTCCACACATTTGTCACGATGCATTTGTCACACTTGTGAGAATCAGACTGTTCTACATGGATCACATTGTCACAACGTCACTCTCACATTGGCACTAATTTCAGATCTCAGGTGCATTGCCCTTTCCCCTGAGTCAACAAAACGAATGTGAATCGGACACTGCTTCTGACACACAGGTTCAAAGTTCCAAAGCCATTATGGTATCTCAGTTTTAGAAAGTGACACACTGGACCTGCCTCGACAACGCGCCCTGAGTCTTCTGTGCCGCGCTGGTCCGTGATGTCGCACAGGCCAAGGACAATCACATGTGTGGGGTAAAGCGGTGAGGGTTTGTCCACACAGTGGGCTGCAGTCAACACCCACTGCTTGCCAATCAGCACCCCCCCGCAAGTGTGGAAGCCTGAAACGCTCTGCAAAGACGCCATGTAGGGGAAACGGCCGCACGGTGCGTCCCCTTCATCCTGCAGATCAATCAGCCAAGGATTAAGTAGAAGTAGATCTGAGGCGCAACAATCCTGGGAAAAAAGACAAGCGGTGCATGATCAGCTGCCTTCCAGATGCACACGATGCAGACCTGTTGATGACCCAATTCTGCACTGAAATTCAGGCGAAACCCTCAGAACAGAAGCGGGGGAAGGCCTCGGGCAACGTGAATTGGGGCATGCGCCACTATTTCGAGTGGCCACTTGTCCAAATCTGGTTGCGCTGCCAACATTTTCGCAGGCCCAGGACTTCCTTTGTGCATGGCGTTTTGGCCAATTCGGCAGGCCTGGGTACTGCCCTCATGCCCGTGCACTGCGTTTTGGCGATCTTGGCAGCTACCCCTCTCAATCTGTTTGCGGTGCCCGGCATTTCAGCAGACCCAGACACTTCCCTCACGCCCTCTGCACTGCGTTTCGACCATTTTGGCTGTCCACTTGCCTTGGTCTGTTAGCAGCACCACCATTTCGGCAGGCTGGGGCACTTCCCTCGTGCCCTGTGCACTGCATTGGGGCCATTTCTGCAGGCCGCCTCCCAATCTGTTAACGATGCCAACGTTCCGGCATGTTTGGGGAACTCCATTGTCCCCTGTGCAGAGCGTTCCGGGGGTTTCGGGCAATTTGGCCATAGGGCTGGTTCGGCAAGCAGTTTCCGAGAACACTCTCAATTCCAGTTTATCTGCACAAGGCAGAGAACCATAGGAAAGTTTGCTCACCGCCATGGTCTCTACTATCCACTCTGCATAGCTTGTCACCCTTGTAAACACTGCCGGGATCCCAGACTCGTTGCAGGCCACATTTTCTTGAAAAGACGTGATGCCCACAACCTTATCAAGGTCAGGGATGCCGTTTCTAATGTTGCCATCAGGCTTGAATGTCACCAGCAGAGGGGCACCACTGTCTCCTGTTTCTCCAAAAAGAACGCAGTCAAGATGTCCACAAGCAACACAATTTAGGTGTCTGCAAGTGATGTGTAAATACCTCTATTGCAGGCCATTGAACCATGAATAACTGTCTGTCTTCCACCCATTAGGCGATTCCTGTTGCTAGTGAGTTCAACATTTGTAAGTGCTCCACAGTGGACCTTAAAATACAGAACAAAAAATGACTTTCCCTAGGGTGAGAGCGCTCGGGCAGTGCAACTGCCAGCGCACGAAGTTAGGTGGGAGATGGCGATTTCCCAACAGACTTCTGGGCACAACGGACACTGCCATAGCAGACACAAATAGGGAAACTGTGAACACTGCCCTGTACACTGTGGCATCAAATTACTTCACAGATGTAATTTTCTCCCGCTACTTTTCTCAGGCATCAAAGCAGTTTCTCCAGCATTGCTGTCCAATATCGGATTAGTGGCTTTGGTACCTTTGTCCTGCAACCAAGAGACAATGATTTGCGACCCAGCAGGTTACAGCCTCCAGCAAGTGCATACAGCATTGCCACCAAATTCTGCTGCCATGCCGATATTGTGGGAAACCGTTCCTGAAGAGGCAGTGCATAGCCACTCGCTCAGGTGACCAGCCAACATTTTTTCTCTGAAGTGGTGCTATAACAATCACCCCAACATCGAATATCAACAGCAGCACCACCCTGGGCACACCTGAGCTGAGCCAAAGCAGAGAATCGTCGTATGTGCAGATGCAGTCAAAGCCGAATTCCACAAAAATGGCAACTGCTGACTCATTACGATCACTGCAAGCTCTCAGCTGCATGCTGTAACTCAATCAAGCAACTCAGCAATTTGGGTGAGGGCCTGTGGCAACTGAGCTGCTCAGCCAGTGCAACAGCTCACAATTTTCAGCAAAGAACTCACAGCACCAACTGGACACTGCATATGCAGCGCCATACCTGGGCAGGTACCAGCACCCTCGAATCCAAAAGCGCAAAGCATTGAGTCTTGGATGACATCCTGCCACAAGCCGTTGCACAGCACGTTTTCTACGATGATAAGCTCATTCGAGAACTGCAGGGTGTCGGCGGGCACATCGCTGCCGGATGTGCCAAATCCCAGTGCAGAAACCTTCAGCAGCTCGCCAGGGTTGGTTGCAACAGAAACTGGCACGTTTTGCGACTCCTTGTCAAGCTTCACCAGTGCGATGTCATATCCGTCCACAGCCACGCCCGTAAACCTTGGGTGGACAACGATCCTCTCACTTGTGAAGAACTGGGGCAAGCAGTAAACTTCTTGTCAGAACCACAAAGTACATCTTTGAATGAACTAAAACCGATGTGAGCCAGAGGCAGATGCAGAAATGGAAACATCGACATACTACCGTTGTTACAGAAGTATGGTCACGTTTCCAATTCACATCAACGGGGGCCAAAGCAAGTGAGTCAGAATAACAATGACAGAAGCAACTTTGACGCGCCGTACTGAGAATCATCTGTAGAGCCTTCAAACGTAGCAAACGCCACCACTATTCTTGCAATACGCCGTGAGGAGCCAAAACGCAACTTGGTGTTTGTCAGAACCTGGGACGGGGAATGACGAGCTCGACTCGCCCTTCAAAGAAGTTGCATCGAGCTGAGCTGTCTCTGGAAAAGAAGCATGACTTGGTGGCTTGGTATGCACTAAAGATGTGGCTAAACTCCAAGCAGAACCCGCACAGCAACAGATGCAGGCTTGCCGCAGATTCTCGAGTGTCAACAAGAAATGTGCGTATGTTGTGGTCGAAGGCCAGGAGACACCTAGACTAGTGCAACATCATTGATCTAGCCGACGCCCCGTGGATAGAAAGGCTGGGCATGCTGATGCTGGCCAAAAATTGGCCTAAGTTTAGGCCAACATGGCCAATCGTTGCAATTAGGAATTTCGGACACAGAATTCAGTACAATGCAAGAGATCGTCCACACAGCGTGTTATCGCAATGATGCCAAAACTCTTGAAAGCATGTGGTAGTGCCTGTTCATTGCCAACAGCAACGTTCTTCAAAAAACTGGTGAAAATGGGTTGGTACATACGGGAATAAGGTGAACACAAAAATATGGGAAATCCGGCCCTGACAGAGGTGGACAAGGGCCATTTCTGTACGGCGATGACTAATACAGTCAAGAACCACATCAACCCGAAATCGACCAAGGTATCCGAACCTGGGGGGCAGATTGACTAATTGAGTTGATCCTGCAAAGTTATGGCAGGATTGGAAAGCGACGATACTTTTGTAACAGAGGTAGTAGCTTTCCCAAAACCTAGCAGGCACCTTCTTGGATTAGTTTGACATCATTGTCTCAGTAAACATTTAGTTGCACTGCATTTGTAGCAAAACTGCTTGAAGTGGTGCTATGTCCACAAGCCTAGCGTCCCTTCAGTAGCTGATCGTAGCCTGAGGGCAACAGGCTCTTCCCATGTTATCAAACATGCTGATAAACAAATGGAAGGCAAATTCAACAAAATAGGTGCAAATGCATATTCAATCAGAACTAAGTGTGGTCGCAAATTTTCAGAACATTGCTGCACACTGCTTGCTGGCCTCTCTGCTGTGCATCACGACAATACATCACCTTCCAGTGGAGAAACAAAGTCTTGGATATTGCTCATCGCAAAATCCACACATATTACACAAAACTGCTTCCTGAGCGACCAGGTTGAGAGCAAGGTCATACGTAGATATGGAGCGGATAGAAAAGTTCAGAAATCACTTGCCTGGACGAAAAGGGACATATCAGTACTGATGTGTTCCGCCATGCTGTTGGCAAGCTGCAATACTCTACAACTGACTTGGACAAGACTGATGGCACCTGTCCACCTTACAGGCGACGACTGGTGCGTACACATGCTGTTTGCGAGAGCAACTTCATCCGTACACTATTCTGCCAGACTGGAGACCGGTCAAAGAATGCCAGATGCACCACACAACAGCACAAACAATGCTGTGTGCCAAGCAACGTTTCGGGTTGCCATTCTCTTCCACACATTTGCTGCGATGTCTTTGTCACACTTGTGAGAATCAGAATGTTCTACACATAACACAATGTCACAATGTCACAACGTCACCCTCACATTGGCACTAATTTCAGATCTCAGGTGCCTTCCCCTTTCCCCAGAGTCAACAGAACGAATGTGAATCGGACACTGTTTCTGAAACAAAGGTTGAAAGTTCCAAGGCCATTGTGCTATCCCAGTCCTAGAAAGTGACACATTGGACCTGCCTCAACAATGCGCCCCGAGTCTTCTGTGCCGTTCTTGTCTGCGATGTCGCACAGGCCAAGGACAATCATATGTGTGGGGTAAAGCGGCGAGGTTTTGGTCACACAGTGGGCTGCAGTCAGCACCCACTGCTTGCGAATCAGCACACCCCCACAAATGTGGAAGCCTGAAACGTTCTGCAAAGAAGCCATGTAGGGAAAACGACCACATGGTGCATCCCCTTCGTCCTGCAGATCAATCAGCCAAGGATTAAATAGCAGCAGAATTGATGCAAACAGGCCTGGCAACAAAGAGAAGTGGTGCACGATCAGCTGCCTTCTAGAAGCACATGATGCAGACCTGTTGATTTCATGTGCACAGGTGCAATTCCGTGCGGCAAAGTAGCTGCATGGCTGTCTAGCAACAAGCCACTCTTTCTATTTTCCTTTTTGGATGGCGATTGTGGCGCACAAATTGGCAGACACCTGGTGGGTTTTGTGTCACCCATTCTCAGCCATATGCATAGACAACAACCTTTGTAAGAAGCACAGCATAGGCCCTCTACTGCAGTGCAGATGGTCTGCTATCACTGTTGTGGGTTTTTCCCCTTCGATGCGCTGCAGCTGTCAAAGTGATGACCAGCTAATCCTTTTGCAATTTGGAGGCGATGATGGACACAGGAACCTGCAACCAGTGTTTATTCACTGTCATGAGACAATGGTACCGCACATCATGGGTCTTAAACCAGCATGTCTGGGTAGCAAGCACAACGCTCGCAGCAAGTATGCCCACCACCGTCTGCTCCCCGACAGCACTCTGCAGACCCCTCATCCCTCCAGTAGCCTGAGATTTTGTCCATCCACCTGTAAAAATCCCACACTTCCTGATAGTGCACCCTCCAAAGCAATCGGCAGGAAGTCTCCTCTCTTTGTGAACACAACAAATTGTGCTTGGCAGAAAGCCAACTGGTCCCCCTCTCTTCCCCCCACTTCCCCCTCAGAGCAAGTACTCTTGAGAGACTTTTTTATGCTGCAGAAGACGATACAGAAGTCCCCAAGTGCAACAGGGGCAGCATGCCGCACAGTGTCCAGCAAAAGAATGACAGCGCAGAGCAGGACACAAGAGTGTGCAAGCACCATGACACTTGCGCCTACTGCCTTTGGGACAGTCAGAATAAATGGCATGAGCATCAACACAATGCTTCACTAATTGCCTGTTGACATGTCCGTAACTGCGCGACTGTTCAGGGCACCAATTGTAGCTTACATTTAAAAAATTAGATGATTATCATCATTGCATGAGCTGGCGTCATGTGTGGTCCAGAATTCAGCCAACATGCCATTCAAAAACATTATAAAGGCTCAGAAGGGTGGCAAGCATGTTGTTGACAACCATAGAAGAAGGAGACTACATCAGTGCATTGAACTCAGTCTTCAACTGCGACTCAAGGACATGACGCCCAAACTCGTCTATAAAACAATGGGTCAAGATGTCGACATTCTTCATGTCTGACTCCTCAGCGACAGCTGCGAGGAAGGCCGTCTGAAATAGCACAGGCTTTAAAAGCAGAATGATGTGAAAATGATCCTGATGGCCTGCATGGATGTGTGATGCCATTTCTTTTCTAATTTAATGTCTGATGTTTCACTATCTCTTAGTGGCACTTGACAGCCAAAACGCTGTTGTGAAATGTTCAGTGAATGGACATCAGACCCTGCATTTGTTTTTCTCTGTGCTGACATGGATATGAAGGCCATGAATGCACTGGTTGAGTGACATCATGTAAATTGAATTGCCATGACGGCAGTGTGAAGTGCGGAAGTTCTCTAATCAATCTGATGTGCCAAGGGTAGACGGCTGAAGTGGCATTTTTTCTGAAACCTGGGCCACGTGTTGTGCAGTGTTGATGAAATCCTTGCATGAGGATTATGTGAGCGGGTGGTAATAACTTAAAAAAATGGGACAGCCGTTCGGGGATAGGATGGGCTGGGAGGGGATTTGCTGCGAGCTCCCAGAGTTGATATGACTTTCCAAGGATCAACATCGATTTGATGTGTTGACACCCACAAAATTTAAAGGGGCTATTTTGGGTGGCTGCCGCGCTTGTGTGGTGCCTGAAGGTCGCGCTGCCCGTTTCTGGAGGGGATGCAACAGAACGAACAAGAATTTGTGAAGTTGTAAGCACCTTGCTGGTGTTCTTTGAGCATGCGGCCTGTGCACACAGGTCGTGCTATGTAGTCCGACTGGTTTGGCTTCAAAGCCAGCGGCTTTTGATCCCAAACGTTCAGCTTTCCGTGTTGTGCACCAATGACATGCTCATCGTTCGAGCTGCATGAGTTGATGAGTGAATTTGCGGGAATCGCTGCAGTTTCTGTTATCATTTCTGTCCATGTCCTTCTGGATTGCATGCGCCTGGACATGCATGCCTAGTGAGCAGTTTTCGCTCATATTTTTGTGCCTCAATCGCCAGCGACGCGCATGCAAAGTGACCCGATTTCGCTGCCTTTGGTCGCGCTCTTCAACAGCTCTGAGGTAGGGGACGGGGGAATCTTTTTGAAGACTTCTACTGCACCTTTCCGAAGGGTATATAGCCAGAATGGACCATGGATCTTTGCAACGGCATAAACTCCAACGGTGCGGAGCGCAAATCAGTGCAGTACATGCAAACGGCAATACACAGATGGGGCCCACAGAGTTGGACAAGGTACGATGATTGGCTGAGACCACAAGACATCAAGCCTTGTTGCAGATTTCCTTGCTGTTCTTATGATCATCTTCTACAAGGGCAACAAACAGCACTTGAACAGAAGCAGAAAAGAACAGAAACAGCAGAAGGTAGAGTTCTCAACCAACAGTTTCTTGCCACACATGTTTGCTTCTGTTCAACACAATTAGATGAGCAATTCATGGCCTTGGTATGCTCAGATGGGATGGGTGGAGCACTGTCTTGCTCCATAGGGATAGCCAACAGTTGACGACTGGTGGTCGGGCTGGTATCTGGCTCATGTGCACCACCCACCAGATCAACTGCCAATGTAGCTGTTTTGCTGAAAGACAAACCCTGTGGTAGTCAACTTGCAATAAACGCCCAAAACAGCTAGAGAGCTTCCATTTGCAGCCAAATCTGCACCCTTTTTAGAGTTCCAGGTTCTTTCACAGCTCCCTTATCAAACTTCAGTTTCCCTTCTAAGCAGCTCGCTTTGAGGCTCAGGGAATTTAAACCTCTCAAGAGACTGGAGAGGTCAACAGAAAAACAAGGCGACCAATTGGACGCCTGCAACATCGTGACTCGAGCGATTGCCTGAGTGCAAAACATAGGCTCACCCACACCAACCCCATTGCCCCCCTCTCCCAGGCCCCAAACACAGGCATGGCGTCTCCACCCCCACCAAGATCCGACCCTTTCGGCACTCACCGCCGTGGCCAACCTCCCTGCCCGCGACGCAGGCCAGGGCGCACGCCAGCGCCAACACCGCCAGGCGCACGGTCGACACCATCCAGCCGCTCATTGCGGCAGAGCCGGCCGCCAACCTCCGCCGGTGGCCAGGCCCGCGGCAGGACACACACGCGGCCCCAACCGGTTGGCAATCCTATATCCCTACCCGCAGGCGAAGCCACCAGCGCCCCCCAGACTCACACGTCAGCACCCCACGTTTCCAGATCCGTTTGGCAGATGTCCCGTCCGACTCCCGGATCCCCGTCACCGGCAGCCCCGCGCGGAGCATCTCGCAGCGTTCCCAAATCCGCGGCGCCGTTCAGGCCCTGCGACTGCCGGGCGTGCTGGGGTCCTCGTGCGTGGCCTTCGGGCCGCGGCCCAGCAGACTTGTTGCGCCTCGGCGCCTGGCGGCCGATGCCCGCCCGTGGATCGCCACCAAAGCGGACTTCCGGGCATTGCGCCCTCCCCCCATCCCCCCCCCGGCGCCTCTTGCCGACGCCCCTCGCCCGCAAACTCACATTCGCCGCACGTCACACCCACACCGCGAGATGGGGCGGGGGCAAAGAGTGACACACCTGTCGCGATCGCGACCGTGGAGAGGTCGACAGTTATTCGCAATGAAGGGGGAGGCGGCGGGCGCAGGGCCGCCCGTGTTCCTGCGCGGCGCTGCGTTCGATGGGTGTGCGCGGGCTCTCTGGCGGGCAACGGCCTCAGGGGGCCCTTCTTCAGCGGCTTCCTGCGTAGCTTCCCCACTACCTCTCTCCGTGCATCCGGTGCGCAAAGGCGGCACAGTGGGCCTCACGCATGCGATCACTGAGTCATGCGATGCTCAGGCGGCTGGCCCACAGCACCAGTACAACTCGATTGTCGATACTCTGAACGACCAAGCCTTCGCCCCTCCCGCGAACCGGCTCTTCACGAAGCGCTCCTTGTCGCGACGACCACCAGCACCGAAAATAGCAGAAACGGCACATTGTCGTCTGACATGGGTAGCAAACCTCCAACCGTCTGTGAAACGTGCAAGTATCCTTGTAGAAAGACTCGCAGCTGAGCAGCATTCGCCCACAGTCGTGGTGCAGGATGGCCATCGATTCATGGCAACGAGACTCCAGACACTGCGGCTATTGCCATCTAAGACGCGTCCATCAAATCCACCTTTTGCTACATGTCTCTTTGCCTCTCACAATCGTTCCTTTCAATGCCCTGCCATTCCCACGAATTAGGTGGTTAGAGGCCCAAGCGCAGACAACAAAAGGCGTCGATCTCATGGCCCCTCTCTCCAAACAGGCCCAGAGATACAGAATCCCTTCGCCATTAAATCCCGCAAAGTTGGAGAATGCCTTCCAATTAATTGACATCCCATGATAGCCATGGCCATCTGTCGATCCTTGGCAGTGACCTCACCAATTCGCTGACACTTTTGTCACCCATACATAACTGATATCCCATTCGGCGTATTTCGCAGCCACCCAAGCCTTTGGTAGCGACGGGCCCCGTCGTTCGGTGGGCTCGCTTGCATGCCGTCCCATGTTGATGCAGCTGTACAGCCAACATACATGTATGCATACATTATGCATAAATGTGTCGAGTCCTTAATTGGGGCTATATAGTCGCAGGTTGCCGCCGACGGCATGCCATGTTGCGGCTTGGTTTTGGCATCACCAGCACTCGATTCTACGATTGCGTATGCGTAGTGCAGTATCTAGAATGCACCCTATTCCAGAAACGTCGGCATACCTTAAATCATCCCGTCAGCCTGTCGGCATCACCTTAGTTCGCTTCCTGCCATTCATCCCTGTACCCGCCGGCGACCAGTCGCGTTGCTGTCCAGCGAACATCAAGCACGTCGAACAGGTGCACCCTGGCCACATAGCGGTTCCAAGGCTATCGGGGAAGCCGTGCCAGAGCTGCTCGAGTGATGTGCACATGCAGCAATCCAAGCGACCCAGCCGGGCATCAACGTTAACTATGTTAATGGAGCATGCACATCGATCGCCCTTATGTTCTGGTCCTCACAGCCCCAACCCCACACAAACAAAATAGAGCGTTACGTCGCACAACGCCTGCAACCACAGTGAGCTGGCAAACACTTCCAGGTCCCTTATCCCGACGGGACGTGTTCACGATTCGCCACGTCCCCATGCATGGCAGTCGGTGATTGCCATGGATGTCACGCAGGGATCGACCCCAACGGAACTTGGCACCATGACAACAGGCCTTCAGGGCAGCAGATGTGCTGTTGCGACTTGTTACCCATGGGTTCAAAGCACCCCTCAAGGCAATCTTTTAACCATCCGGTTTCTTGGAAGGCTATGGTAGTGTTGTCAGCGCACACTGAAACAAAGCACGGCCTGTCGGCGGACCATCTGCAACCAAAACAACAGCACTCTTTCTGCTCCGCGGATGCCACTGCTGGCTGTGCAATTACTTTTGAAGTCAAAGAATTCCTTCCGCCACAGTGCTTTGAAGGTTGCTCAAAGCGGGGTCCATGCCCAGCTGCTCGATGATGCTGGCGGACCAACTAAATGAACAAAACCAAATAGACTGATGTCCCATATTACGGCTCCATCAATTTAGCACCCCCTCTGTCCCAAATTGCACTCTCTACACATCAAACACCACCTTTTCTGAAGCATTTGCCTCTGAACATCCGTCCACTTGAGTTCCCGTTGCTGCTGTATGTGGTGCTGTGCCGATTTCCTGCATACGCACCAACGCCAAACAGCAACACGTCCCCTAGCAATGTCTCTCACCTTTGCGCAGAGAAAGATGAACAGTATGTGAAGAGTGGTTGCATCCCAAGGGCAGACCAGGGCGTTTCCGAATTATCAGAGTGCTCACATTTAGCCAGTGGGGTCTCGATGCACGGGGATTGGCAGCGCATGCGTTGCGGCCCTCGTGGGTCTCAGGTCACTCACCGAACTGGAGCTGAAACAGTGCCATTCAGCAGCGGGAATGGCGGCTCTCACGCCTCTGACGGGACAAAGGGCATTCGATTTCGGATTGCGCTTGGATCAGTGACCGCGCCGAGGAGGCCGTGGGGACCACGCACCGCAATTTAGACGAATCATCCGGCCCTCGTAAACATAATTTTGCATAAAGATCTGCACATGTCCTTACCGCTGCACCCCTTGGTAGTGGTCCACTGCCGGTAGCCACAACGAGAGCGGCTATGGGTGCGATTCCTAAGAAGGAGTCAGGCTTGGTCTTGGCGGCGCAGCACATGGTTTTCTTATGGGTGTTTACACGGAAAAAACACTTTGACGTCTTTACGCATAGAAAGGTGTGAAACTACGTAAATGCAGGACATCTGTACATAAAAACAGTACATGCAGACTCAGGGAACTCCGGTTAATGGCAGCCAAACGCACTAGGGTGGCAAGGAAACGGCCTTTTGTTCAAAGATGTCTCCGCCTCTTGCCAAGGCGAGGTGGACGCTGTGTTGCGGGTGCCCGGGGGGCCAGAGGACTGATCATTGCTCACGACATCATCGAGTGTGTTCGTTTACAGGCAGCACGAGCAATAAAGAAGTGAGGGACAGCGTTTGCCTTGTGTTCGATAGCAGAGTGGGGCGAGGCGTTGAGTGTGGTGATCCGGCGCTGCACAAGGAGCCATTTGAGTCGAAACATGCGCAGCAAGAAGGCGGCACGACGTTCGGCATGGAATGCAAGACATGCAGCGCCGCGCCAATTCCATATGATGTACGTGCTGAATCTGTAACGCGCACGGGAGCCTGACGACAGAATAGGAAGCTGAAGGCTACCTCCTTGCTAGCTATGCATAGTTTCATGATGATGCTGATTCTGCAAGTGAGCGGTTCAGGATGGCTGACGCGCAGAACGCTGATGCCCCTGGTGCGGCGCAACGGATGCCTGGCATGATGCAATCACTGTTGACGTACCGTGGGGTCAGCGATGTGCAAGATGTGTATCCATAACTGTGAGGAACACAGCGGTGGACTTTCTTTTATGCCGATGGATTGGATTGCGGGTGCCTGTCTTCCTCAGGCGAACGTGTGACGCTTCGCATGCAAATTGCAGTCGTAACCTGCTTTCTCACTGTACTCTGTGGCAGACGATTGGCTTTAAGATGTTCGAAGTGGCGCAAAGGTTGGTGAGAATGAACGCGTGTCTTTGAATGGAGCTGATGGCTGTGAAACGTGTGTCGAACAAGAAGTCAGCGATATGGAATTTCTATTGAATAGCACCACTGAATTGCTATTGGGAACAAGTTGCGGGCGGTTCATTGCCGGGGTGTACATGGGATCAGTTTTTAGTTGATGAGTTGCTGAAGAGAAGGCATTCCTGAGCGCTGGCCATCCGTCATGGTCAGCCTCGGTGTGGCGATAACCTGGGCAGACAGGGCCCTTGCAAATCTGGGTGCACAGGTACCGACACTGGTATTGAATGAGAGCGTAACTGTGAAGCCAAGCCACATTTTCGGGGTAGCTGCCGCGGGTTCTCACAATGGACAATCTAGCTATTCAACAAGACAAAACTGCCACCGTCCTCGGGGTTTGTGTGCTGGAGTGTGTTTTGATTAGGGAGCCATGGAGTGCGCAATTCATGGAACGTTCGCAGCTTTGAAGGAATGCAAACATATTCAACGGGCACGCCGGGGGGTTCGAATCATTCTGTGAAGCAGAAGGTGTCTCACTATTAGGTGTTGTGGCGACTTTGGATGATGGTAGGGCGAAGGGTTTGCACAAGGAGGTGTGCATGGACGCAGGAGTAATTCTTGATGGGTGGCGCAAAGCCCACATCGCCTTCATTAGGACGGGATGGCACTTGGACACTTGCGTGTCACGTAACATTCTGAATTAAGAGGAGAAGCGCACAATGTATTGTTGAGAACTACGTCGACAATGTGCGAAATGGCAAGTTTGGCCCACGTTCTTGTTTCCATGGTCAGTGCTTGAACAGTGTGCGCTATGCGCGCGCGTGGACAACAGGGCCTGACGCTTCAAGCCTTCGAATTAGTGGCGGAACGGCTCCAATCCGCTGTAGCGCGTTCATTCGAGTGGGGTAAAAGGTTTCCAAAACTGCCAGGAACAACTACGCCTGAAATAAGATA